CTCATGCTCATCTTTTGATCTTAAACCCAAATGTCTTCAGTGTACAACAAAAACAAAGGGATTTGCCTTGCTGTTCCAGCACCAACCTGTGTAGTAGGGGGGACAAAAACAAGTGTAGTTGTTGACTCCATCAATGCAGGTGGCTCCATTCTCGCAGTCGTTGTCTTCGCAGTCGTCTGTGTTGATTTGGCAAGTCGGGCCCTCAAAGCCCAGTGGACACGTGCAACTGTGATGACACACTCACTCGTCAAGGATTCTGTTCAACATGAGATTTCAGGTTTATGTTGCCATGACTCCAAGACCCGCCATCCTCACCTGTATTCTCCCTCGTTCTCCTCACTCACTTGGCAGGTTCCTCCGTTGGCACATGGGTTACTCATGCAGGCGTTCAGAGATGTCTCACAGTTCTTGCCCTGAGACAAAGTGCAGAGACAAAGCTCACTGTATGATAAAAGTAAATCTTTTTCCCCCTCCATTCAGGGTCATTAAAGAAAATATTTTAAAGTATTTGTAATAGTGGTTTTACCTTGAATCCTGGAGGACAGCTGCACCTGTAGCCCTCCGTTGGGTCGTTGTGACAGATGCCATGGTTCAGGCAGGGACTGGACAAACAAGGGTTACACTTTGCCAACACGTCAAGGTCCACATCATCTGCAGAAATGACACAATGAATTATTATAAATGCATTTAAAGTTGATTTTATCACTGTTTGAATCATATTTTAGTGTCCAAGACAATAGCTCACCTTTGCATTCAAATTTCTTTGCAGGCGTTGTGAGGAGCAGTTTGCCCTCCATGCCCTGTGGACCAGAACAACGTGCGATTCCAGGTTCTTTGTATCCAGTCTTCACCCAGTCGAGCAGCCAGCGCAGGTGGCAATTGCAGTACAAAGGATTAGCACCAATTGCTCTAAATATTAAAGGAAAAAAAAACAAAAAAACTTTGTCAAAGTGTGTCGCTGCAGTACACTCTGCCACCAGCAGGTGTCTCTACATCCACATTGAAAACAAACCACCAAACAAGACACGACCCAAAATAAATTCTTCAAGAACAAAACATCTTTTACAGTTTAACGCTTCATAACAGTTTGTGCCATCATCTTGAGCAGAGCCATTATCGGCGTGAAATGAAGGTAGTCTTTAAGCACCTCTGTTGTAGTTGTGAATCAATGGCACCCTGTCCTGCTGGATGCACAAACACTCCTAAATCGATGCTGTTCCATTACACTGGAACACAAGCTCATCTTTCAGGCCGGGCCAAGAGCTGACACCTGACATCTGCTAACATGAAAGCCACTTGACTGTGACTGCAAATCAATGGCTTCCTCTCCATCCATCTCTTAATCCTGACTTTATGCAGCCTCGACTCCTGCTCCGCTTCTTACAAAATGTCTTTGTTTGGTTCCCACTTTCTTCTCCAGCCCCGACACTGATAGGTCTATTGATCACCAACTATCAAGGGACGATGAGGACATCAAGGCAGGATGCCAGAGGACAAAGACGCTTCTGCGCAGCTTTAACTCACCAAACAGAAAATGACAGACATACATAAACAAACACTAAAGCCCACAGACCACGGAGAATGTATATGTGTTTTAGAGACGTCACAGGGAGATGAGACAGCAGAGGGCTCTGTGTTGCTTTAACCACAGAAATGATTACGATGGGCTTGGCTCACGCGGAGCCAGCCAAAAACGACAACAGTCTACTGTGAATCAAACTTCTCAGCCGTCAAAGCAGACCCCCCACTGTGCTCTAAAACATGTGTCTAGAGTACTTACAACTAGAGAAATTGCATTTCCTGTGAAAATGCAATGTGAATGCTTATAGCAGAAGAACTTGCTGAAAAAAAGCTGAAATTAAAAACGTAGCTGAAATGGAAGAACAAGCCTAAATTAGCAGAAGAAAGCAGAAAGAGCACATACTTGCTGAATTTGGTTTAACGTACGTAAGCAGAAATGAGCACAAACATTAGGAAATTAGCAAAAATAAATAAATTAGCTGAAAAGTACCTGAAAATGGAGAAAGAAGCTTAAAACTACCAGAAGGACGTGGAAAGAGCTGAATGTGGATTTAGCTGAAAATGCTAAAATTAGCACAAAAAACAGCTAAATAGCAGCTGAAATAGCAGAGAAGCTGAATGTAGCAGAAAAAAAACTGAAAGGAACATAACAAGCTAAAATTAGCAGCACCAAGTTTATTAGGTTGAAAGTAACAGAAATTACCACAAAAAAAATTTATCTGAAAATGGCTGAAATTAGCTTAAAAAAAGCTGAAAAGGTAGAACAAGCTTAAATAAGCAGAAGAAAGCAGAAAGAACACGTTTGCCAATTAGGCTGAAGGAAGCAGAAATGAGCACAAAAATGTAGAAATTATATGAAAAAGCTGAAATTAGCTTTAAATCAGCTGAAAATAGCTTAAAAAAGAAGAAAGAAGCAGAAATTACAATTAGTAGAAATAGCACATTTTTGCTGAATTAGACTGAAAATGTTTAAATGATGAATGGCTGTTTGTCTCGTTTGTCTCTATGTGTCCCTGTGATGGACTTGCGACCTGTCCAGGGTGTACCCCGCCCCTCGCACAGTGATTGCTGGACATGGGCACCAGCGACCCCCGTGACCCAAAATGGAAGAAGCGGGTAAAGGTAATGGATGGATGGATGGATGGGATGTTTAAATGAATGCAAAAAATGTGGGGAAAAAAAAGTGGAATTAGCTGAAAAAAATTCAAGATAAAACAGCTGAAATAGAAAAAGCTTAAACTTGAAAAACAAGCTGAAAGAAGCATAACAAGCTGAAATTAACAGAAAAAAAGTTAGAAGAAGCACAAAAACTTTGTAGTTAGCAGAAAGAATCTGAAATGAGCACAAAACAGCTGAAAAAAACAGCTGAAATTAGCTGGAAAAAATGTTTAATTTTGCACAAGGAAGATGAAAGAAGCTGAATTCATTTTCTATGAGGAAAAAATGGCAGAAATGGCAAAATATTTCAAAAAGCTAAAGTTGCACCAATGCCAAAAGTCATAGCAGGATTGCCCTGAAAGAGCTGAATGTTTATATGATTTGTTGAAATAGCACAAAAATTGTGGAACGAGAAAGATGCAGACAAACGTATGGAAGAAAAACTGATCACTATAGTGAGAATGCTTCATAAACATTCATACAATTACCAAACTTAGGTTATAACTGCTTAGAGGCAAGAAATAGTGAGTTAACACTTACAAATGGGAAAGTGAGGCCACGTCATTGAAGATACCATCAGGAAGCTCTGAGATTTCATTACCATGGAGAGACCTGAGGGGAGGAAAGACACGAGAAGACCTTCAAAATAAAATAGCGACTGAGGAGAGTAAGGCATCATTAAACTAAAGAGGGACAAAACAATTAGAAACTGTTTTTTTTGCCTGCATTCCTGCTATGATTTGGTTTCAGTGAACGAAGCCAAAGGTTTCAAGATTAATTGTTGAGGAAGTTTTTACTGTCGTGTGTTGGTGGTTCATATTTCTGGCAGAGCTTTGTGCAGCTGGCAAAGATATGTAGCTCTGTGAGTCTGGAAAAGCCTGGTGTCAAGTTTCTACGTGCGTCTGGCTGGCAGGACCAACAAAGGCACTGGGGGGGTGGACGTGGCGTGGAACAGACTTTCACGACATGAAGGACAGTGAGATGTTGAGAGAATTGTGTACACATACAAATAAGAGAATGAAACTTCGTGTTAGCGTCTCCATCTATGGGATTTCTTTAAGTATTTAGGAACTATTCTCCATTATGCTGTCATCCTTTTTGTACATTTTATGAGTCTTATTCAGGGTGACAAGTCTTCATGGCTTATTGCTTGGATGATTGATGACAGCCATAATTTGCCAGGTCATTACCACCTCAAATCCTCAGCTGTCCACAAGCTTATGTGACTACCACTCACACCATAGCAACAATGCATTGCATCTCAAAGCTCCTGGAGAAAAAAAAAAAATATATATATATATATTTTAGAATTATTATTGAAGCCTGACTTCCATCTAAGTTCGTTATGTTGAGCTTAGCTGATGAAGAGTTGGAGGTTGAGCAACCAGGGAGGGATGTTGGTCAGTATAAATATACAGAGTACTAAAGGGAAAATATACAGTTCAACCTGAGTCAACATGTTTGTTAGCCCGTGTGCCGTGGAGAATGCTTATTAGTGTAAAGCGAGTGGGTGGGTTGTTGTAGTCGGAGGATACTGAGGCCGTGAAGCCAGCAGCAGTGACAGCCAGGAAGAAAACTCCTGGGAAAAAGGAGCCAGGGAGTCTCCAGGAAGAAATCTGAGCTGCCCTCATACTAACATTTACTTTTTTGCTTCTCTTTTCCACAGTTTATCATCATCAGCCTAGTCTATACTGTGTACTTATTTCAATACAATTTTCAGAGGACCAGCTGCTTGTGCTGCACGAGATAACAAGCTGAGCCGGTTCAAACTTTCACACTGCTTCACCTGCTGCCACTTATTATTCGGCGATTATTTGAGTCCCCCGAGCTGCTGCAGCTTGTTAAATTCGTGCCAGACTTTCTGCTCCCCCTTATTTTTCTCCTTATCACGCTCTTTCATCGCTTATTGTCTCTGAAACCGTCACTGGCCACGCCCCAAAGCTGTTTTAGCTCACTCACCTCACACCTAACACCCAGCAGGCCAATTAGCAGCAAATTAATCTGCAGCTCAAACCACACTTTTAATCACTCAGATCACAATCGCCCCACACCCGTGCCCGGCTTCGACCCCTGGTCTGTTTGAAGAACGAAGCGTTAATGATTCTTCTCCTTTTTTACTGCTGTGTTAAGTCAAAGGTGCAGCTTTATGAAGGCTTTGGCACCTCTGCATGTGCGAGTACACACAAGTGCTTTCCCGCTCTTTGGCTTCCATAAAGCTTCTAATATTGAACTTTAAACCTTTGAAACTATTAAATAGAGACTATTGTCAAAAAATACGAATAATAAAAAAACAAGCATAGCACTGACTGACATTTAATGGGAGGCTTATGACTGAGACATCAAAGTTTTCTGCTTCATTTGGACTTCCCTCTCACTGAGACACCAAGGTAGTCCAGACGACAGTGTGTGTATGTGTGTGTGTATGCATACGTCTGACTGTGTCTATAGTTCTAAGGCTGTTTGGGGTGGGAGGCTCTGGAGGAGGGCCTCACATGGCGTCTAGCTCACTCGCACGGGGAATGTTTCAGAGGCGAAGGTGGCGTGAGTGAGTAAGAGCAGAAATAATGGACGCGGCTTCATTAGAGATCAAAGCGGCACGCTGAGGCTAGCAAGGCGGCATCGGCTAATAATGGCCGAGCTTCACTCTCATTCCATACTAAAAGGGCTTTATGCTTTGTGTCTCATAATGATTGGGGGCTTTAGTCGAATCCTGCCGTAAAAGGAGGCTTTGTTGCAGCTTTGTTGTCAGTAATAAAAAGTGTTCCTGCTAGGAGCACACATGGAAGGCTGAGAAGTCAGCTCCCACACGCATACTAACAGTCAGTAGATCACAAACATGAAGACTATTTAAAAAGGCATAAACATACACACATATGCGTATATAATTTCATACGCAGGGCAGCCGGGTCTGGTCTCAATTTATGCTTACAGAACTGACTGCACATTGGAGTCAAAGAGCTGTTGCTTTGTGTAGCTGCTGTATCTCTGGATGCATTTCCAAAAAACTGGTTTAATTCCGTCATCGTTCTGTCCAACTAATTTACTTTCTACACTACAGTTATTTAGCAGCCCATGGTCACCGAGAGTGCACGGTCAAAGGCTTTGTAACTTCGTGAAAGTCCCGAAGCAGTGCTGGAGCCATTACGGTCGGATGGCCAAAAATTCTCCTGTAATCAGAGTCAAAGTGATTTTGTACAGTGGGCTGTGGGGGTGTGTGTTCGGCCCTTACGGGGAGGCAGTGATGAGCTCAGACCATCAAAAGGCGAGCAGTCGGACTGGGAAGATGTCTAAGAAGTGGGTGTGGTTGGGAGTAAGAGCTGGATCAATGCTGCCATTTAAACTGAGAAATTGGGTCGGTGTGTGTGTGTGTGTTCACAAGCTGTCACAACTGTTTAGACAGCTTCATTCCTCTGGAGTCAATCAAAAACTTTTAGCATCTGTTCTATCATCTATGTGATTGTTGCAAAAATAACCTCAATAACTCATTTAGCCTCAAAGTGCATCCGTCTGGTTTCACAACTCTCTCTCTTTTTCCTTTTTTATTTTTATTTTTTTCTAAATAGCTTCAATTGTTTGCAGAGAAGTTTTTGATTTTAGCTCTGTAGCCTTACGTGACACAAAGAAACATTTGAAATATTTGCTGTGCAGGCAAAAAAACAAAACAAACAAAAAAAACATTTCAAATTAAAAGCACATATGCATACATTAAAAAAAACCAAATCTAAACAAAAACTCACAGTAGCCGAAGTGAGTGCAGTCCACTGAAAGCCTTTTTGGGGATGCAACGCAGAGAGTTGTAGCTCAGGATTCTGTAACAACAAAATAATTTCACATGTATAAAGACAAAATCAGCTGTTTTCACCTTTTTTCAGCACTAAAATAAACACAGCACTTTGTTGTGACAGATAAAGTTAAGAAGGACTTACAGTGTTGTTAGTTGGCTCATGTTTGCAAAGGAGGAGTTGGTCAGAGAGTTGATCTTATTGTTGCTCAGGTCACTGTAAGGAATGTTAAAAAAAAAGGAAGTGACTATTTTGTTATCTGCAGGTTTGTAGACACGGCAGACAAAAACTACTTACACCAATTGTAGGTACTTGAAGCTTGACATTTCCTTTGGAACATTACTGAACTGGTTTCCATCAAGGTACCTAAAAAAAAAAAACCAAGAGTTTTCAAACTTGGTTTTGTTTTGAAATTGTGACATAAATCTGAGCGTCTCATGTCCAACATTTAGCCTCAGTAGGAAGAGCATATGTTGTTTTTTTTATAGGGGTGCACAGATTGCAGATCCATCTCTAAAAAATCTGACCTGCCGATACCGATTTTGTTTTATAAGCGATACTGTCGGGTGTTATAAGGACACAATGCACCTTCAATTTTCCAATATTATTTTATTGAAAAACATACCCTTCAACAACATCCTAGAAACAATACAAACTTGTTTTAACTGGTCATGAAGTAGTGCTCTGAAATATAAATGAAGTTTAGACAATTGTGAAAACTACAAAAAAACTCGATTTTCTCATAAAATTAAAGAAATTGGGGCCCATCGGTGCATCCCTAGTTTTTTTTATTAGTAGACTTATAGTGGGATACATATCTGACAAAATCTAGGCATAAACTTTGAGTAATTTCACTGAAATTGTAACTAATTTCCAGCACGTCCCGAAGGGTACTTGCATGTGTGTCAACAGTGTGATGTGTTTCTAGTGGTTCCCAACTACGGTCCTTGAGGAACACCATCCTGCATGTTTTAGTAGTTGTTCCCTGCTCCAACACACCTGCTTTGAGCTTTGAATAAATGGATGATTATCAGGCTTCTGCAGAACTTGAGGAAGTAATTAAATCACTGAATCAGGTATGTTGGAGCAGAGAACCACTAAAAAATGCATGGTGTTCCTCAAGGATCAGGGTTGGGAACCACTGGTTTAGGCCACCAAAGTCAACATCATTCCTGTAGAAAAGCAGTCGTCTCTCTGATTGCCAACACAAAGTCTTACAAGTAGTCTGTCACTTTGATAAATGACTGATGTAGAACCAGCTCCTTCTGAGTAGAACTACAAGATCCAGCTATTGTTACTGACTGCACAGAGGGTGGGCAGGTCAGGAGATGGGGTAGGGGGGTAGTTAGTAAGAGGCCTTGGGGTTCAGAGGTAATAATAGGTAATGATGGTTCAGAGGCCACTTGGGATAATGATGGAGTAAGAAACTTTCCAGATGAAGAGATGGAAGCGCAGACCAGGGGTACACCTGGTCACACCTGCTGGGACAATGACAGGCCTGAAGGCTCACGCAGTGTGTGTGTGCATCTGTGAGTGCACAAGACCAAAGAAGTATTGGAAAGTTTCAGGCCTATTCCTTTCCCTCTCCTTTCCATTGAAAAGTGCTTGTTAAAACGTCCTGTTGCTCCCCTTTGCTCCTGTGGACAAACTTTTGGCCCTAACACAAAAATGCATATGCACACACTTTCTCTCATACACACACGCGCACACACACATCCTTGGCTCCGAGTGTGAGAGTGACATCAGTGCCCTAAAGGCAGCAAAGACTAGAGGAAGAAGAAGAATGTCTGGGAGAATAACCGAGGGGTTTATTGACTCCTTCCTCTCATCCAAGCGATGAGATGTCTTTTCCGTATTTCAATGATTTTTTTAAAGGAATATAAACTTAATGTCACTAATAAAATTTTCTCCATCCGCTTTAAACTAAGACGTAAGATTTATTATACCTAGAAGTCAAACTGTTGAATAGGAACTGGCACAATTAATAGCAAAGGACTTACAACTCTGTGACATTTCTGGGGATGCCCTTGGGTAGTGTTTGGAGGTGCTTGTTGCTGCAGCGCACCACAGACTCCAGACAAGTGCACTCACTGGGACACTGAGGACGAGGTACACAGGTTGACTCCTCATGGCCTGGTAAAAAAATAAATAAAAATAGAGGGAGAAGAGTCAAATTAACAGTTAAAGAAATATGAAAGAAACAAATAAAGTCATACCTCACACAAGTTCTGAAGTTATCTTTTAGGGGGTAGTGAGATTTGCATTGTGCTCCAATAAACACTAACGATTGTTTGACAGGTGACTGGAATCAGATGATTTTCAGGTTGACTGGCACTCAAAAATCTGACACCTCATAGTTTGTGAACGCAACATTGCCAAGTGTGTGTGCTAACAATACTGATTGAAAACTTAAAGCGAGCCATGTGTAATATCTGTAAAGTGTTTTAAAAAAGGTTGCTTGTAAACTAAGAAGCACAAAAAGCTTCTCATAAGAAACATTTTCTACACAGAGACATTTGCTGCTTTACTGATAAGTAACGTTCAAGACACGGCAGTCATTTATAGTGCCCTGTAACCTGGTAAAACTTAAATTTTTCAAGAAATGCACATCTGGACCCAGCAGACCTCTCAGTCCTCTTGAGCAGCAGAACTGCCTGAAGTCCGGGCAGAACTTCTCCCCGAGCGATGGCCATTTCTCCCAGCAGCCTGATGAGACCCTCATCACCGCGGACTTAACTGCAGGTGCCGGGGTACGATCTCGGCCCTCCCGCTGTCACTAGCCGTGTTTCCCGCTACCTCCAAAATCTCAGGAGTCAGGGAGTCAGGCACTCAAGCACTGCCTCCAGGTAGACGGGAATGCATCCACGGCGCCTCCTTTTCAACTCATTTGGGATTCGGGGCTGTAGTTGAGGTATAAGTTTAGCTTTTGAGATGTTAATCAGCTGGTCCCGGTTGTAGAAAACCACCTTGCTGTTATGGTTACGTATCATAACAAATCTCTCAAAGTAATAAAAAAAAAATGTTTTGGTAAAAATCCTTCTAGCGGCACAGCATCTGATACCAGAGGAAATAATTATCTGAAAAAAGCCACTTACATCCAGAAAAAAAAGAGCAATTAAAATTTTCAAAAGCAAAAAATAAATAA